CTTTTATTTCGACCTGACAAACACCAAGACCTCCAAAGATGGACAAATATTTCTCGTAGGACAAATATGATTTGCCTCTCAAGCAGCTGCAGAGTTTGTGTTTGTCATCAGGTCGTGTACACACAGTGGTCCACTGACAGTATCTGCAGATGCTGGTATTATTGACTCAGTCAAGCTGTTAGCGGAGCTTTTTATCGTGACCTCAGGGCTCTGTTGGCTTAAGTGCATCCTCATCCTCTTCCCATAAAACAGTATTTGTTGATTCCAAGCTTATTAAAGGACTTCTGGAACTAAACACCAGCTCTTCAAAGGAAAGAACCTCGGGGAAGCCAGTGACCTTTTCAGAGCGGGCTGGCTAAAATCTTCTAGGCAGCACCACCTTAAAAGACTTGACTCTTATTCAAAAGACACGTTTTTCTTTTCAAACCAGGCAAATGTCATGTGCTCTCATGTCAGACTCAGTGTTGCAGTCTTTGGCCAGGTGTTTAAAAACTCCGTACAGAGTTTGGTGGCTACACATATTTAACATATTTTGAAATATTTACACCCAAGAGACATTTCCAGGAATGATAATAATAATTTGACTGTAAATGTATCTTTTCTTTCCCCTCTCATAATATTACAGATTCCTTTTGGACCTACCGTTCTCTCAGCCACTGGTTTCCACACTTGTCTGTGTGATCTACTGAAAGAAAATAGCATGCTCTGGTCCACTTAGGCCTAAAGCATTTTGGGCTAGGAAAGATGTGGATTGATGTACATGAATGAGTGTTTTCAGCCTCATGTAGCAGCAATGAGGGAAGGACGAGCCGTTGCCAAGATCCTTCATAGTCAGCACAAGCATAGTGACGAGTCATGAACGTTATGTACCGTCATAGGCTTATGTGGACCTGAGGATATTCTCATTATAATCATAATGAGCCAATAACATGGTAGCTACTCCAGATCACCTGCTGAAGTTCAAACTGAGCATCAGAATGGGGAAGAAAGGTAATTTAAATGACTCTGAATCTGGCATGGTCTGAGGATTTAACGAACTGCTGATCTACTCAGACTAATAAGTAACAGTTTAAAGTGAGTTTGTTAAAAAATCACTCGTAAAAAAGTAGAATAGTAAACTAAAAGTGCAGACTTTACATAAGTACTGTAATGTTATATGCATTTAAAATAGCTCAACATAACTGATGTTAAGCTCTAATATTGTCTGTATTTGCCGAGAAGAAACGGTAACGTTGTCTAAAAATGGTCAAAATAGGAGCTAAATAAATAGAATGTAAATTGTACTGAGGCTAAAAGGCTAATGAATAGATGTTAAATAAATCCCTCAGCACAAACTTACCTAAGCACTGACAGTTTGTCTGGATGAAAATAATTATCATAGCAATAACCTCTTTTATATCATAAGTGTTGAATGGGATTCCACTGAAAAAATAACACATTGGCGCTCGAGAGGTGACGTTAATGAAAGGGTAGCGTGCAGACCCGCCTGCCAGATGAAAAAGGCTGAGTTACATTGTGTCGGCCTTACTTCCTCTGGGAGGTGAAGCGCATGCCAAAGTAACAGAGATCATTAAATTTTAGTGTGATGACTTGGTTAGGATGAAGATTTGGTTAGTTTTTGGTTGAGTAGTGGTTGAGGTTAGCGTGAGGGGAACTGTTGGCAATAGGTGGAAGTAAATGTAATATACTCTGAAGTGGATGAAACATGACTGTGTGTGTGCGCGCACAAGTGTTTGTGCACATTCACTTGATGATGTTTAAACGAGTGGCCTCAGCTGTCTCAACAAGTTAAATAACCTTCACAAACACAGCAGACAGAGAGGCAAAGACCAGCAGAAAAAAGCTGAAACACAGAGAAAGATAATTCTAGGTTAGAAACTTCCTTTGGGATATTTTTCTCAGAGAACGGTTTGATCAGCATAACTGTGTTCTTTCTTTTTTTCTTTCAGCATTTATTTTGAAAAGAATTGAGATGTTTGGTGGTCTCATAAAATCGCAGCCAAAACAGAGCAAGTATGTAATTTTATAATGATAATGAACTCCTAGCTCTACATGAAAGATGCCCTGGGGAGGGAACTGATGGAAGCAAACCACAGAAAAGCAGGCAGCTAAATTATGATTTGTAACCTAGAATTCAGGCCTGACTTACCTTTTCCTTTTGGGTTCATGCAAGATGATAACACACCTGCTCTTGTATAATTATCAGTGCCAATGATTTAGTCCTGCAGGATGTCACAAGGTTTATTTGTTTATCTACAATTTCTTTTTTTAACTAGGTGAAAACCAAAGTAGACGGGCCACCGGCAGTGAGCCCCACGGTAGGTCCTTTTTTTGTTAGTGCTAACTGTTAGCATATTACATGCTAGGCTAACAGCGCTAACAGGTTAAGGCTCAGCCATATTAATATGCTTATAATAAAAGAATTGAAATGTTTTTCAGTTTATCTGAACCTGTTCTTTGGTAATGAACCGTAAAGTGTTAGGAAGTGTGAGTGTTTAGCTACGTCTGACAATGATCTGATGGTCAACGTAGAGAATATTTCAAATGCTCTCATGCTGTCTATGTAGCAGTTCACACATGGTTGTGTTTGTACCTAATGAATCCATTCTCACCCCCCAATGCTTACACAAACATATATACTCAAAGATCCAAACTACAGAGGAAGCAGTCAAGATGTGTCCGGATATCACAGATCGTCTGAGGGTCCTAGAGCAGGAAGTTGGCCGCTACAGAGAGGAATCCAGGAAGTCACAAGCTGAAGTGGAGAGGCTGATGGGAGCTTTAAATGATGCCGAGATGGACAAATCCTGCAAGGAGAAAAAAATCTCTGATCTTGAGAGGTGAGGGTTTAAGGAATTCAGTCGGTTTCGTAACAAGTCTGTGTGTTCTTAGAGTGTAACCGGATCTGTGTGAGGCCTCGGCTCATTCCTACGTGCTGTATTTATAAAGGGGTAATCCATGAAATATAAACTGTCTAGATTGAGTCGTCCTAGCACTTGAAACCACTTTTATGTTGCCATTCTTTTGGCCTGATGTAATCAGTCCAGAGAATGAATGCGACCTGTTTAAATATCAGTCTAATCATTTGGCTTAATGTCTTATTATTTGTTTTTGTCTGTCAATGTCTGCAGACATGGGTAAGTAGATATTTAGTGTGCCCGTTAACCCCACCGTCATAATGCTGCTCACGCTGCCCATGATCATTACGTTGACATCATGCTGTGGTTGCTGGCTCCTTTTAAACTTTCTCAGGTATAAAGTTGGAAATTGGGGGATTGACTGTATCTGAGCCTCAGGAAGCTTAGATTTGACTGTCTCGTTGGGGCAGTAAATGCATAATCCATTTATGGTCTTCATTCCTGTCACAGTAATAACACAATGAGAGACTTTATATGCTTCCTGTGGAGACATATAGCTTCTCTTTTGTGTTGACGTCTGCAAATCTTCTTTGCACACATTTCAATCCTGTCATCAGTGCGGTCATCTGTGTTTTCTCATATCAAATTATCCATATGTGTGTTTATATAAATGTCTTTGCATTGCTTCTGACTACTGTCAATGCATCCTGTGACGGTGTTTGTGTGTGTGTGAGCGAGCATTCGAGTTTGCCAGGCAGGCAGCCAGCGGCATGCCAGTGGGAGGTTTTTGTATCCAGCCCAGACACTGGATGTTTATACTACTCTGTTTATTACTGGCACAGTGCTGCTCAATTATCATCTGATTTATGGATTGGCATGGTGTGTATATGTACCCAAATGAGTAGTTGTTTAGTGCCAAGGCAGAAGTACAGTATGTTAGTGTTTGTCTGCATATTTATTTCATACAGTGTGTGTGTGTGTGTGTGTGTGTGTGTGTGTGTGTGTGTGTGTGTGTGTGTGTGTGCGTGAGTGGGTGGGTGAGTTGTG